GGCCTACTTCTACATCAAACAATCCGACAAGAAGATTTGTAAAATTAATCAATTAACGACGGAAGTCATGTAAGATGAATTTGAAGAGCTAAAGATGAAACAATGTGGCTCTGTATTAAGTTCTATATGCGACTAATCAACTTGTTCAAACTGTCATTGCAATCTAAACATAAAACAGAATAAAAAGATAGCTTACAACAAATGGCTGAATTATATATGCTATATCAACTCATACTTTATGTAACAGGCCTTGATGCTTAACATTTTTTCAAAGTGGTGCTGTTATAAAAAAGTGGTATTCACAAAATATACCTGTACCTGGGAAAATGTTGTGAAAGCGAGGTATTTCAAACAATTACGCATATGTGTAAGGAAACAATAAAGAGATCATCATGAAGCTGTAAAAAAGTACTATTAGCTTAGAACATGTGTTAAACCAATAAATGGACACTTTGAGAATTAGTTTATGAGAATTGTACATGCTGTATGTATATCTCTGACATACTGTAAGAATGTTTCTTGCAGTACTTTTTCTGACAATTTTGAAGCATTTTTTTTTCAAAAATAGCCCTATTTGTCAAAAATGAGACCTAAAAGGCCAATTTTGGGCCTACAATGAAAATAATGTTAGACCCAACCCAGATCTACCAGTATGAGATAATTACCTCATTTGGTAGAAATTACACTTTTTAAAGCTGTGTACTAGACTGCCTTAACCATGGCCATGGGGAACTTTCTACATAATTTAGGTTTTAGTTTCTTTTATTGTGATATATGCCATGCTAGTGGTTAGCCTTTAAATTGAATTAGGTGGGAATTGCTGTTTGTGCCAAGTTAAATCTTGTTAATTAATGGCAGTGTGAACATTTTCATTTCTAATTACAAGCAATTATCTTTGTAATATATTATCTAACACATTCATAACACCACAACGGAAAATATCTAGAATTTCTAACTCTAACAAATACCAGCTGGGTAATGTTAAAGAATAAAGTTTATAAAGGAAAAGGGCACCTACAGCGTTCATTCAGTATTAATAGTTCTCAGTTTTTGTATATTTTTCACATTAATGTGGTGAAATATACCTTGAAGAAGTCCAGATTTTAGCAGAGGATGTCTAAGTGGAGGTGATCTCCCAGATGCCCCAGTTTTCCAAATATGATATGCAGTTCATGTTATGCCTATGTGTCCAATAGTTTCAGGGACACCTGGGAAATATGTGATTGCGGATAAAAATGTTGCAGTTTATTGAAGTTAAGAATTTGAAAAACATCAATCATTTATTTTAAGTGCTCATACTAATAAAACCAACAATGTAGACTTTTATCGAAATGTTTAATTAGAAAAGAAGTATCAACATGTCATTATTTAAATCAACAGCTACTTCAGCGTACTTATCCCGAAAATATTTTTGATTTAAGACTTTTTAATTTGGTGATTTTAACCAGATTGTCTGCCCATATTTAACAATGTTTAACATTCTTTGGTTGACTGTTTTCAAAGTAGTTTTTGTGATAAGTAAGTGATAAAATAGTTTATTAATGGTAAAGTAATGATATTGCTGATGATCTGATCTTCAATTAATGATAAAATTCTAATTTTTCACTTTTTAGATTTATTGAAATTCCAAATGACATTAATTTGAGGTTTTCTGTTTGACTTTTGGATAAAAGTTCATGTTGACCAAAAAGACGACAAGAATTATCATCCTATGGTTCCATACATACTTGAATGAAGGAATCTGAGTTTCTAATAGTATGTTTTTCTAAGGTTGAATTTCAGGTAAATCCTGATAATTGTGGCTGATGATAACTTCAGGATTTCCATGCCTGGAAGACAGTTGCATCTGAATAAGCAAAGTTCCCTGATTAAACTCCCAATGTTAAAGTAATTGGTACATTATTACATGCCTTGAGCGACAGTGTCTTCCTATCAGGACTTATCTTTGGCCTTTGCAACATGATCTTCCTGGAAAGTGGTACCCTGGGTATTGTGTGATATAACAATCTTTGGGTTGAGTTCACTCCCTTTAGGACATGATTCCCTCTAGTGTAAAGCTGGAGTTCATCTGATTAAGATCTGATTGTTTTTGTCTGGAGTTCATATTATTCTTCAGGAAACATGGAATTCTATTTAGTTCATGCTTCAATATAACATCAGCATGATACTCAGTCTCCTGTAGGAGAAAATATATGTCAGGCATTATCTCCAAAAGGAGAATGATAATTTTAGTCAGATATTAACCCTTCTGGACATCAATGCCACTGTTGTTATTGACCTTAAGCAGGACGATTGCAATAAACCAATTGAAGACAAGAGAAGGGAGCAAACAATTGTGTTGATGTCTGTAGAGAAGATAATCTCATTGGCTACTCTTAGTGCAATTATCACTGAAGTACTCCACCCTATCCAACCTCCTGATGACCCCAATAAGAGTCTTGATGACCCTAAACATATAGATGACCCTATGCAGATTGATGACCCCATACCACCATTTAGTATCAATATACATGATAAGGCAAGCTAGCTGAAAGAATATAGGAGAATTAACATTGCTGACCTCAGGTCTTAACCACTAAAGGGTGACAATGTAGAAGATAACATATTTGAACTATAGAATATATATTTTTCTATACCTATTTCACACACACTGGGGAAGGTGTGTATTTAGCGTGTGGGGGATAAAAAAGTGTTTGATACAAGAATAAAAAACAACAAGCAAATGTAATACGAGACTTTAGAGGCAATAGCAGTAATATGATATTCAAAGACCTATTCACAAATTTTGTTATTACAACCTTCCCACAAACATATAAATCACTGAGCAAGATTGTCCATACATGAATCTGCCTACCCAACGCTAATGACCCTGTCTCACCCAAACTCCCCTGTATTACCCATATGGTGTTTCCCACCCCAGTTAGATTATTCCACACTTTTTGCCTAAATCACAACCCCTCTGACTATATCCAACCACCAATGACCAAATCCCAGCTCCTATGACTATATCCCACATTGTATGACCATATCCCACCCAGATGACCATATCCCAGCTCTTATGCCTATATCCCACCTTGTATGGCCATATCCCACCCAGATGACCATATCCCAGCTCTTATGCCTATATCCCACCTTGTATGGCCATATCCCACCCGAAACCCAAATCCCAGCTCCTATGACTATATCCCACCTTGTATGGCCATATCCCACCCAGATGACCATATCCCACCCCTATGACCCTGTCAAACTAAAAGTGGTATAAGTCACTTAAGAGTTATTGTTATACCACTGCAAAAGATAAGTGCATTTAGCTAAGTGTATTTTCAATATAAAGTTGCCCAGATACATCTTTTCATTAATATTAACCCCTATTAAACTGCCAACTTGAAGATTTTATGTGAGTATTTGTTTATATCAGGATTTAACCCTTTAGTACTTGAATTACCAATTTATTTTTTCCAAATACATGTAGGACTAAGCTGGAAAAGACCTCATTGCCTTCCAAGAGTTGGTTGAACTGGATTGTCAATTGTGTTTGATTCTACAATTATTGTGTTTGATTGTGATGACAGTGTGATTGTGTTTGATTGTGATGGCAGTGCGATTGTGTTTGATTGTGATGACAGGGTAATTGTGTTTGATTGTGATTGTGTTTGATTGTTCTAGCATTATCATTGTGCTTGATTGGGCTGGTACAGTCATTGATGTTTTTCATTGAATCATACTGGGTTATTGGTTGTGTTTGAACAATTTTAGAGTGGTTGTGCCACACAATTTCTATAAAAGTCAATTAAGGGTTAACATGTAAGGTCAAAGTAGATAAGTAAAGACCACTTGGTCAGAAGTTTTGGTAGATAGACACACACGATTACCACCATAAATTATTTACCATACAACCTTTTAGGACTATTATTGAACTTAAATGTCACTTAATCCATCGGTTTATCTCCTCGACTGATTTATTGCCATTTATTTGAGTGTACAGGAAGTGTTCAGGTATTTTACCTCCGTTTGTTTAATCAACTTTGTTTGCTTAAGAGTGCAGGTAAATGGGCAATGCTCAGGATGCACAGTTTTGTCTTTGACATATTTATGGACAATTGTATTAATGTGTCATTGTTTCCTTTCATTAGCTCTGACCACTTTGCGTCTTTGTCCATCTCTGCTTTCAGGTTACTGTAATTAAATCCACCACTTTCAATTTACAAATCTTTTGATGCCTGAATTCTTTCATCGTCCGATGTTGCCTTTTGTGACTTTTAATTTTTATATAAAGAATTAAGAGAAAAATGGAAATTTCTGGGTCTCAAAGTCTTCACATATTTTTGGTTACCTTACGAAGTTGAAGCCTGGATCAAGATAAAATGAGTCCGAAAATATATAACTGTACGCCGTATTATTGAGTTCACTCTAAAAAACATGAAATATATTGGAAAGAGAGGGATCACTCTGGAATAAAACATGCAGATATGCAGGCAATATGTACTACATTGTACACAAAAGCACAAACACCGAGCTCTTCGTTTAGATGATAAGAGTAAGAAAATAGAATAAACAAAACGAATGAATGATATCTAGGCACTGATTTTTCTTCTTGGGATGCCACAAACAGTTGTTCACCCATCAACTCAATCACATATATATCACTAACATGTGGTTGTTCATTTCTTTTCTTGTTGAATGTTGGGAAAAGCCAAATCAGGTGCTGATCAATCATAAGTACATCAAAGATTATTTCAATGTTGTGAATGCCTATTAACCACCAGCTACTAATATAGGTGATAGGAATGACAGATTGCGGCATTTCGTGATCAATCATGCCACACAAGGAAATGATGCAACTGAACTTCATAAGAAACATATGCCAAAAGAGAAATGAGGGAGAATTAAGGAGAAGTAGAGTTTCTCCTTCAGAGGATGTTGACCAAAAACTGATATTTATTATCTACTGGTAATGTCTTTCTCTAATAATATACCGATTTGATTTTTTGTGTTTTCAGGTGAAAGTTATGCTAAGAATCTCTCCGTCATACATCAGCGCAAGAACCAATCATGAAGCTTCCGTTTTAAGTGTAGACCCAAGAAAGAAACAAGTGACTGTCTTTGATCCGTCCAATGTTGGCTATGCCACCTCGAACAAACGCAGCGTTAGTACAGCACCAAAAATGTTTGGCTTTGATTCAGTCTTCTGCGAAGATGACTCACTGGTTAGTAAAAAATATGGAAATTTTTGTCATTTTTCGATTCTTTCTCGATGGAGTAATCATGATTTAACAAGATTGTAGAATTAGATTATGCTCACATTTGTGTAATGGGCATGGAGAATAATTGAATAAAACTCTGAAAAGTTGTCTCAGAAGTCCATAGAATATGCCGGGCCTAGACTGGATGGCGGTGAATATGTCACAGTTAGTCCTTTGATGTTGTGCACATATGTCAAAGACCTTAATCCAATGATTGATTATGGTTTTTTACCCACATGTTCAATTTATCAGGTTTATCTAAAGGAAATGTGTTAGATGGCAGATTAAAGAATTGTCATTAGATAAATTGATATTACTAGCAATGAGTTGATGCTATTACTATGGTGACCTCTGATTTATATGGTGTCACTTCACACAAAAAATCTCTGGTGATTTCCTATTAAGTCATAGACAATGATTGTTTGTATTTTTATCTCCAATGTTCTTGTCACATCAGAGCATGTTATGAAAAATCAAGAGGTGCGAAAAAAAATATAATGTGTACAACGATGGGATTTCGGACGAAGAGTAGACTGTTTTGAATAATGATTATTTCTGATTGTATCTGATTTGTTTTTAGTCTGAGATATGTGGAAGCAGTCTGATAGAGATTATACAAGCTGTGGTAGATGGCACTGATGGTTGCCTCTTCTCTTATGGGCACTCCAAAGTTGGTAAGCATGAGTAAAATTCTTACAAAAAGTGAAAATAGGATTGAATTAATAATGAATTACGTGAATAATCAAAGTGATGAAGCACAAAGGGCAACATTTGAAAACCAACATCAACCCCTATAAACCACATAAATGATTAAATTTATGTAGAAATGGAAAAAACATGCACATAGTTCATTTACAGAGAATGTTGATATTAATTATGGGGGAATAAATAATTGTGAGTTTCCATACATTTTTTGCTTTTTCATATGTTAAATAATTATAGTATAGAGATCCAATTTCTCCTTTGTATGTTTTTTTTACCTACTTACTTACTAAAATTATTGCCTCAGATTAAATCTTTAATAAATAGTGTCACTTCAATGTCAGTTACATTATTTTTCTAACAGCACCATCAAGCAGTTTGCATTTATAGAGAGGGTAGAAATTCAAGCATATAACTGTATTATTCTGAAGCAAATTACCCCATGTAATATAATAGCCTACCTGGGAGAGAAAATACAATGTGGTCATGTATCTAAGCATGAAATTGAGAGGAACAGAGAGGATTTTGGGCATTTGAACAAGGTGGCATGATTTTGATTGTATAATTGGTGTAGGAATTTGGAAATATAAGAGATTTCATTCATATTTTGAGAGGAATGTCAACAAACAAGACTGACCAATGAAATATTGTCAGGCTGCTAATGTTCTTTATTGACAGTTTTATAAGCTAAAAAAATCTTGAATCAATGTCATTAACATGATGTTTTTTATTACACTTTATAGTTGCATCTTTATTGAAATACTCAATTTGCCATTAAACTAAAAGAGTTCTCAGGGATTTCGTTTTCTCCCCAAAATACCACATCCTTTATAAATGCGTTTTTTATTACTAACACAATAATGTCACCCGATGTGAGAATAGTTCTTTGTAACCCAGTCCCAAAATTCATAATAATTATAGGTGTTCATAGCATGTGTGAGAGTGATTTGTTTATAACCTAATGTTGTTAACCATAGGTGTATATTCACCAATAGACCCCTGAAGGTGAAATTGTGTAAAGGTATGTAAACATTAATTACATACTCCCCTAGCATATTGTCACCAATAGGCAAAAACGATTGGCAAAATATGGAAGTGTAAATTAGGAAGTTTAGATTTATCTTTGGGTGGTACAATGTGTATTACATGAACATACATGTGTTTAAGTGTATGATATAGCCTTAATACATTTACAACAAATTGTTGCATGTATCAACCTTAGGTGATTTAATTACGTGAGAATTTTAGGTTTATATCACCAAAAAGTGGTATGGTGTTTATATGTCACCATGCCAACCAGCCAGTGTTGGTCATTGGTGTCAACCATTCAACATTTGTGTCTGTAACAAGTGTTACACATTTGTTATTCGAAATAGGTTGTTACATTTTGTCATGGAGATTTCTTGAACTATTATATAAAGTTTATACAAATATAGTATACACAAAAATTGAAATTAATAGATTTCAAACCTAGGATTGGCATATTTACATACTATGCAGGGGCGTAGCCAGCTTTCAGTCAGGGGGGGTGCGATCGCCGAAAATTTTTCAGTTTTCGGTCAGGGGGGGTGCGATCTTGCCATAAGCAACACAAAAAATTAAGATTTCTTTTGAATTTTACAAAAATTGATGCAACTTCCTTCAAAATTGAGCTAGAAGCTTCAAATAAAAAGCATTTTAAAGCTCTTTTCTACCTCTATCCAATGGTCATATTCTCAAAGGTTATGGGGGGGGGGTGCGATCGCACCCATCGCACCCCCCCTGGCTACGCCCATGCTATGAAATACACTTTTACAGGGCAGGGTACATCCTTAAATTTATTTTTCTCAACTTTCACCTAACTTGTATTGGTTTACCTCCTGACAAATAATATTTCATTTTGTACATCTTAATTATATATATTACAATCATATAAAAAACTCCCCCTTTATTAAATGTGACATTTTAACGGTTGACCACAATACACTCCAGAAAAAACGAACAAAATGATTCCAATGGGTAATTAAGTTTGTACCACTGATTATAGTATACAAGGTTTACATTGACCAAAACATCATCAGTGTATCGAACGTGTACCTCATCTCGCCCGATGTCAGGTTAAAGTGAATTCTCCCGGAGGCGAAAATCTCAATAACTTAACAAACAAATGTAAAGAAATTTGAAACTATTGAAATGCAGGAATATACAAGATATATTTCATTCAGGTATGATTAAAAAAACTCTTAACATATCCCTTTTTTAAATACCCCTATGGTGGGAATATCTCATTTTATGAATGAATGAAGAAATACTTCTGGAAGTGTGGTCTATTTTTTATGGATGTACTAAGAATCTAAATGAACTAATTAGGCTTGTTTTTACCTGTGGCAATTTGTTATCATAGGCCTGAAATATGAGGTCCCTACCTGATCTCTTTACACGTACTGAATCAGGCATTTTGCATCCATTATTAACAGAGAATGTTCAATGCAACAAATCAGTAAAGTGGAGTTAATTTCACTTTGGACTTGTTCGAGTATTTAACTCAAGTAATTGACGTTTTTCCCAATGTCCTTCCCTGCTCACATATCAATAATAACATCAGCCCATCTCAAGAAAGCTCAAGGTGATAAGTGTTTATATTTGCCTGCCCTTAGGAAATGTCACTTTAAAATCAGATTCCAATGTGTCCTCCCCTCCTCTCACACCCATCCCTATACACATCCTCTTTGCAACCTTTTGAGAAATGCTTTTTTCCAGTGCATATATTTTCGAAAGATTCATTCAAGAAAAATAGCCCAACTAAAGTCAGCCTTTTATATGAAGATTCATTTGAGACTTAAAATCTTAAACAATAGAAATAAAACAAGTTTTTGTTTGTCAATGCCATAGTCATCCTTTTTTCAAGGACCAATATATCTCTCCGTGAATGAGAGCAATGATCATGGGGCGGAGATTTCTAATAACTGATATTTAACCCAGTTATTGTCTATTGACAGAATATGTCCTCTCAATGAGTGTCATAAAACTTTCAAAACATCACTTTTGTAAATCCTGGCTATGTCACTAGTAATGTTTGCCTCTATTCAACACAGTTTAGCTCCTTTGTCAATGTTAACATCATTCCAAAGTTTATTAGAAATATTATTAGATATTTGGGATGTTTTGGGAATATTAAACTTTCTATTTGGCCTTTGAGTCATAAGTTTTGGCACTATTAACTTGCCCATGGGAAAAATGATCTTTAGAGTGCATAATTAAGACATGTCATTTATGTAGAGGGTTTATTACAATGAGATTGTTATGCACGTCAGTAACACATCCTTGATGTCATGTCATAAACTTGAATTAAATCACTTTTAACCCTGGAATCTCACTTTACCTTACTGAGCTTAATTCACACATAGAACCTGGTAGACATGGGCTGTTGATCTGTTGTGCAGGGGAGGAGAGAGAATGAATAGATGAAATTATGATATGTGGACACCCTGTTGTCTGATACTCATACTCATACTGAAGCTCATTTCTTAAGAAACCAACGTTTTACATAATTGATGCTATGGCGCTATATAATTATATAAATAATCATACAGTGTACTTTACTACGTCAGCTTAATTCATTTCTGATCTCATGGTCAAATATACGTAATTATCTGTATCGGAATTCCATGGAAAATTTGTACGGAATATGATTGCAATTAGATTAGACTGGACAATCAAATCATCCTGGGTAATCAGATTAATTTATCGATAGACTGCGGTAAAGTCTCTATTTGTAACATTTCAACGAGGCCGGCCACGGAAATTGGATTTCAAATTCATTATGCTCAAGTTAGGCAAATTCTATCAATTCTATCACTAAATTGAATAAACATGTAGGAAATAGAAATCTAAATATTGTTACAAGAAATTTCAGAGTGTTTTGTATTTTTAAAGTATTTTGTTCTTGAGTAAGAATTTAAATAACCTACTTGAGAATTATTAGATTTGTTTTGATTTCTATGGCTGTCTTGAAATTCAATTTGCACTTTTGTGTCATACTCCGTGTGTTTTAGATTGACGCGTTTCATACTAGAATGGGGGTAATTTCTAAAATGTTCATATGTCAACTACATCTGTGTATTATGAAGAGGTTTACATCATTAACAAATATAAACAATGCTAACTACAATAGTAGATCAAATAAGAATTAAAGACATGCAACCATCTCATTGCTAAGGTAGATCTACTTAAATATTTAAAATATTTTGAATCATTGAAATTCGATGTTATGAATTACCGGACCATTCCTTTGAGGGGCAATTTCTATTGAACTCATTGTGGGAAAGATATGAAGGAAGAGGTATCTGATATTTAAGAAACAGTTAAGTGTGACTAACCCTGAGGAATGATAATTTCCACTGGTCCAGATTAGCGCCCGCATCTCTACCTCAATGCTATTGGCTCTGACAAAGTCCCCTGTACTTGTACTTGTAATTGAATTGTACTTGTTCTTTCATTCATACTTTTCCTTTGTAACTCCAGGCAAGACCTTCACAATGATAGGAGTGGATGATAACCCCCAGAACATGGGCATCATACCATGTGCAGTGGCGTGGCTATTTCGACTGATAAATGAACAGAAGGACCGAACAGGTGCTAGGTTTTCGGTGCGAGTCTCCGCAGTTGAAGTGACGGGGAAACAAGAAAAATTGAAAGATTTACTCTCTGAAGTAGCTGCAGGTATAGCCATGTTTTATAATTGAAGTGTAGATGCTTTAGTTAATGATTCAAAATTGTAATATAATATGCTACATATACCTCAAATTAATTTGTTACATTTTGTTTGCAGATGTGACATTTGAATTAAATAGCATTCTGTTACTAATAGATGGCAGCACTTATCAAGACATGATTGTGTTGGATGAAGGAATAGTTTATATTCATATTTGAATTTAGTTATTCCGTCTTTAATCATCCCTAGTCTTCAGTTGAATTTCAGTTTATTTCTTGTATAATTTTATACATTAATGAATGATTGTGAGTAAAAAATGAGGAGATAATGTTCGATACAGGATGTCCATAAAGTCTCTACACTTTACACAGACTTTGTATTGTATTTGTAAATATACTTTATGGTTGCCCTGTATGTTATGTTGCATTGTCATATTCCATCTGGTATAGGAAATTATGGGCCGCCTGCCTGCTTTTAGATCAGCTTGTACATGTAACTAGAGATATGAGACAGTGTAGATGCATATTCATTTTTATTATTTCATGCTGTGCCTTTTAGGTGCTGATAATGGTGGCAACACTGCCCCTGGTGTGTACCTACGTGACGACCCAATCTGTGGGGCTCAGCTAGAAAACCAGAGTGAATTACGAGCCCCTACTGCGGAAAAGGCAGCATACTACCTTGATGCAGCTATTGCAGCCAGGTCAGCACCTGCGACTGAGGAGGAGGCCAGGAACTCTCATTTGTTGTTTACTCTTCATGTTTACCAGTATAGAGTGGAGAAGGTCAATAGAGGCCTGGGAGGGGGAGGTATGACCAAGATATGTTTCTGTTTACAGTAATTAATGATTTATTTATTCATGTCCATCACTCAAAGTTGTGCATCATTTGTAAATTGGGAAAACTTAAAAGTATTTATAAACAACATGGTCTTTTCAAATAAGGAAACCATTTTTGCACCACAAAGATTCAGAGGAAAAGTAGAGCCCCCGCCAGTAAACATATTTTTTCATGGAATACTTCGTCATGGTACATACAGACTTATAATGCTTATAATGTTTATGTTGTAGTTGCTGGTGGCAGGAGTCGTCTACATTTGATAGATCTTGGTAGCTGTAGCAAGGCCAAGGATGGCAGTCAGGCTCTCAGTCTATCTGCACTTGGAAATGTCATAACAGCATTACTCAATGGACAGAGACATGTCCCCAATAGGTAAGTTATACAATGTGTCTGTGTCTCTGCACTACAATGTGTCTGTCTCTGATGTACAATATGTCTCTGTAGTACAATGTATCTCTGCTACAATGTGTATGTGTCTCTGAAGTACAATATGTCTGTGTGTCTGCAGTACAATATATCTGTGTCTACAGTACAATGTGTCTCAGTTCAATGTCTGTTTCTCTCCAATACAATAATACAAGATGTGGTGTCTTTAATAAATGAGTACAAATACAATAATAAATAAACTAGTGTCTGTAATACAGTATGTTTTTCAACCAGGGACATATGTACATTGTTCAAATCAAGCGTATGTGTGATTGGATCTTATAATTCAAAGAGAAATACACTATAAAGAAACCATCTTGCCTTTCAGAGATAGTAAGCTTACACAGTTGATGCGCGAATCACTGGGTAACCTATCATGTAGGACATGCATGATCGCACATGTGTCGCCAAATGTCACCCGCTACAACGAGAGCTTGCAGGTGATCCAACTGGCTGCTAGGATTCACAGGATGAGAAGACGCAGAACATCTAAGGTTTGAAAACATTCAGTTTGTATTTCAATATTCAAAGGGTTAATGTCCCACTGGAGCACTGAGGAACATCAAATTAAGCATTATGGGATATATCTTGAATCTTAAATTGTTCCTATGATTCCACATTGAATTATAGAAGTAACTATCGTCTGCCTCACACAGATTGCATTATGGGATATCTTTTCAAAAATATTTTTACCAAAGACTCATAGCCAAACTCAATATAATAAATTGTAATTATATAAATCAATAGTTTTTGCAGTTTAGGTTTCAAGCATCTAATTATTCCACTCAGTTGGCCTGCATAAAAATAATTCTGAATATACATTCACTAATTATAGCCATTTTATGATGGGAAACCTTGTGTGCCAAATGACAATTAGACTTGAACATGCATGACACATGTAGAGTTGTAAACCCATTGTGATGCAACATGTAATTAGTCAGTATACCTGTAGGCATATCCGTGCATAATTACAATCACGAATAGCTAGCCCATCCTATAAATCATCTCACATTTCGTCACTTTCTCTTTCCAGTTCTCCAGCGCAAGTTCAGATGATAGTGGTAGCTCATGCTCTGACAGGATGTATCGACGCAGAGTACCCCGACTTGGTACATTACGTGAGGGACCACGTTCTGATCCAGAATTTACAGACAGCAGCGAACAATCTTGTGATACAGTGATATATGTTGGCAGGAATGGTTTACCTATGAGTGATATTGAATTGACTGATGGAGAAAGTCCACCAAAATTTTTCCGTCGCACAAGTGGGTCAAGATCATCAGGGGATGAGAGTTCGTATTCAAATCGTAGTGGTGGCTCGGGGAAACGTATGCCTAGGACAAACCCTATGCGACGAGGACCTTCCCCCACAGTAGAAATGTTACTAAGGACTCAGAATCACCCCCCACAACTGCCAAATATGGCGAATTATCAACCACCACCCCCAGGCCAAGAAAGGAATAATACCCTACCCCCAGGATCAGTAGCTAGGATACCTCAATATGCAGCAAATCCCGGTGTACAGCAAACTCACCGACAATACCCAGGGTCCCCTGTACCTGGTCAACCTCCAGGTCAAAATGTTTACCCAGGAGGCCAAGGTCCACCCACGAGTCAGAATATATACCCTGGAATGCAGGGTCCCCCCACAGGATACCCAGGGGTTCATGTACCATACAGTGGGGCTAATGCTTACCCCGGGAGCCAGATTCCTCATCCCCAGCCTGGTCACCCTGCTCCTATCAACACTGTGACACAGTATCACCCTGGGGCAAAAAACATGTACACCACAGTTCAAGCTGATGTCCACAGCGCAGAAAACCAGGCACCTCCCCCTAACTCTGAATTCTGGGTAGATGGACCCCCAATGCAACGCCAAAATCCTGCAGGTGCGGTTTACCCAAAACCAAATAAGGGATCAGAACAGTGGATAGACGGACCTCAGAACTTTGTACAGGCAGATGCCCCAATGTCCCCAATACCACCACGTCATGTAAAAAGGGAGTTATATACAGTACAAGAAGCTACACATCGACATCTTGACCAATCAAAACCCCCTCATATGCCAAAGTCACACATCGCAGAGATTTCCAAGCCATGTAGCCAATCGCCAAAACCTCAAATTACTCAACAATCAGAGACTAAATCGCAAAAGGATAAAGCATACCAGTCATTAAAGCAATCAAGGCGTACAGAACAATCTCCAAAGCTTCATAGGAAAGTGTTAGAAAAGCCTATGAATCCATCAGAAGCATGGATCGATGGCCCAAATGAAATGACAATCAATAAACCAAAAGGAAATGTAATGGAAAATCCCAAACCTTGTACATATATAAAAACTGCACAAATTAGAAACATTGGTGATGCTAAAACATTACAATCGTCACCAGCACGCGTTCATAAACCAACTGAAAAAACCTTAGATACGGCGAGCCTTAAAGAACATACAGAGAACTCTTCAAAAGAGGAGGAGGCTTTACTTTCAGATCAGCCTCCCTCTCTGGTAAAACCTTTTGTGATAGACTGGGTTGAGAAACATAGTACGGGTAATCCTTCCAATAAAACAACAACAGATACATGTAACACAACACCACCTCGTCATAGTAGTCCGCATAGATCTGTGACATCATCGAAAATTGATCCCGCAGTTGGTGGTTCTGGGTTGAAATATACAGACATTATGGAAATGGCTGATCAGCAGCATCAACAAGCTGTAACTGATCAACCACGATCCCAGGGAGCAGCGTCAAATGATGCGTCAAATCCTGCTTCAAATCCTGCATCAAACACTGCATCAAATACATCGAATCATAGTTCCCCCGCTAGTGGCTTATATAAAGACAATCTCCCCCCTCCATCCAGTCCATCATTACGTTGTGCAGCTTGGATTAAATCATTGTGCCAAAGTGCACGTGCACTCGAACATAAAGGATCAGACTCCAATATTGAAACTGTTGAAATCACAAACAATTTAGAAACTAAAATCAAAACTAAAACGAGTTGTGCTAATTCGGTGATTGCACAATCCAATGACAATCTTATGGCTTGCCAAACCAGTATAGAAACGCAGAAAATTGACATTGATTATATGAATGATAAAATCACTGTGACAACTACGACGGAGAAAAAGAACTTTCAGGAAATGTTATGCAATAACAGGGAGAGCATATACGAGATTGAACTTGATGATAATCTTGAACAGGGGAGACGGAATGGTGAATGGGAAAATGACACTTTTAGTTCAGCTTCATTACCAATGACAAGCATGTCAACAACGTATGATAAAGCTCCTGCACTGACACCTATTGAGGAAACTCCAGCAAGTGCGTCTGACATTTTAACTGAGCTTAAACCTGTCGATAATCCAAAACCAAATTGTGAAATTCATGAATGCTTAGATCAAGGTGGAAAAGATGTTTCGCCCACTGTAGACATTTGCCCCGAGTGTAACGAGACTGTGAGTGGGAAACATCAGTGTGAGGGGGGTAGTTATAATACAGAGGACTCTAATAGAAAAATAGGTCTCCCTACATGTCTAAGAGTGCGTCCTGATGGTGCCTCGAATACAAGTTTAAATGAGATTGCCAATAGCAAACCTATGTTTACATATGGGACTCCATTAGAAACTATTGAAAGTGAGACATGTTCAATGGTGAGTAGCAAGGATGCTGAGGCCATGTCACAAACAGAGGATACGACGTCATTGAAAGCAGATCTACCCTCACCTATGTCCCCATGTGTTCCTTTATCTCCCACACTTCCCATATCGCCACCCGTGTGCAACATCAGACGTGATGTCATAGGCCAATCAATGGAAGATACCCGCATTGTTAGTCCAATGGCAACTCCAGCATCAGAAAGACGCAAGAAGCAGCCACCCCCTGTGCCCATTAGGACATCATCACGACCCTCTACACCTGCTGTAGCCATGAGTCCTAATTTGCGCTCAAAATCGGCACCTACTACTCCCAGTAGGCTAGCACGTCCCCTAACTCTCGCCAAACCTAGTCTTGAAAGCATCGAGATAGATCCTGTGGTGCCGACTGCAGCTACAAATAGTAGCCCAATTAAGATCTCAAAAGAAAAAAGCAGCAAACTTCAAGCATTGAAGAAATCACTCTCAAATCAGCTTCATTTCAGATCTAGCGCAAATGGCACTTACTCAGCAAATACAATTGCTGCGAAGAACTCTGCTCTGCCAAAATCACCATCTGTTAAAACTTCAACAAAAAATTCAACGCCACAAAAACAAACTCAGTCTAAAAATACAACTCCTTCCAAAGTTATTCCAAGCAAAATTCCATCTTCATCCAAAATTGCGTCCCCATCTACAAAAAGTGCTCCATCATCCAAAACATCATCACCAGCTAAAAGTTTATCTTCCCAGAAAACAACACCCACAAAAAGCCGTCTTCCCATATTTGGTTCAAGCAAACCACCAACATCGCCCGCTAAAAATAAAGACAAGAAAGACAAAAGTAAAGTTGGAAACGAAAGAGTGTCAAAACTCATGGGTGGTAAAAATACAAAAAAAGGCAATGAATCTGATAGCGGAAATGACAGTAGCGCAAGTTCAAAAGAGAAAAAGTTCCTTTCACCTTATTCTTTTATCACACGTCCTCGACCCGCAAGTCATTCCAGTAGTGGCCATGGCAGTGACATAAGCAGTAATATAAGTGGCCACAAGATTCCAAGCAAGAAGAGCGAGACAAGTAGCGGTTATGAAAGTTTGGTCCATGACATCACAGGGTCCTCATCGCCACATGACTCTACAGATGAAAGCTCATGTTCAGATAAAGATAGGGGGTCACCATTCAAGATGCCAAAGAAAGGTTGGTATGATATTCGTAATTTGTAAACAATTCTGGAATATAGCATTCTAATACCTGGCAGTAAAAGTTAAATCAAATAAAAATCAAAAGTATGTTTTATGGTCATTAACATTGTCTTTTTCCTATAGGCAAATGGAGAAGTAAATCAGCGCCCCCTAGAGCCAACATTGCTCAAGGCAGCCCCAGTTTCAGTCGGGCCTGGCCAGACACTAAGCTAAAAGACCTGGAGCCTGTCACCCTTACAGACTATCAGCATGAGGACTTGGAGAACCAACAGCGCAGGAGGAAGAAAGAAGCTGAGGTAACAGTCATTCTGAGTTGTAATTTCATGTAGAGTTGTCCAATATTAAAGTATACTTCTCTAATTAGTATTAGTTAGTCCATTTGAACATCTTCATGTGACAACCGTTAATATTGTTCACATTTAATTTTGAGACCTTTGCTTTAGTAATTAGTGTTTTGAACTTTTCAATTTTTTCATTGATAACACTTTGACCGTAATTCTATGTTCTTTGAAAATGTTGGCATATCAGATGAAACACTCATTGTGTACAATTTTCAATTTGTGGATCATTCTACTTTAGGTTCAAGCTGTGGTTGAGAGACGGAAGCGTATCAACGAGTTGCGTGATAAGCAGGCTGAATTAAAGGAACAACTAGGTGAAGCAAAGGCTAAACTATCTGCAGGAGACAACGCTTGGACTTGTGACTGTAAGTAATCTTGTTATCATACCCTTGAAAATCAATAGTTAATAGTTATTATTTACAGTAATGAGTTTAACAGTGTCAAGATATAGGGAGAGAAAATATAACAGTGTCAAGATATAGGGAGAGAAAATATTCTAGCATAGTAAGAGCATTCAATATACAGTTAGCAAGTGAAACACAGGCATTGAGTTTATTGATTTTCTCCCTATATCATGACATGTATAAATCAGTTCAACAAAAAATAATCTTAATTTTTGTATTATTAACCCACATGAAGCATACATGTACAGCAAATTATGGTTTTATCAAAATTTGACACCAGACTGATATTTTCAGATTCTTTTCCAGTACGCATCGCTGCATTGACGAATCGGGAAGATGATGAGTACGTTGAAGAACTTGAAAAAGAGACATCTATATTACAAAAGATTGTCGAGACATGCCAGTCTAGGATCATGATGGTCACAAGTTTCGACATTACTATATAAGGAGACAATTGAAGCCAAGATCGTTGGTACTACAATTAAAGATGTGTACTTCACTATACAGAATGCCTGTTTAGAGATATGCTAATACAATGACAATCATACAGAAACAATCTAATAAATAGACTCGGAAAATTAATCAAATTGGGTAATATATCTTTTTTGAGATTGTTTGTTAGATTGTGATAAAGCACTGCTACATGTAGATGTCAAGAAACAGATTTGGGCATCTGTAAATAATTTGGTTTAAAGGCCCAAGATAGATATTATAATACTCAGACACACTTGAGCGAGATTGAAATGTACTGAACTGTGAAAATATCTGACAGTGATAAAAACTTACTAAGTGTAACATTTCCAGTGTTTTCAGCATTACAATTTTGAAAACTAAACATTGAATAAAATTGATGATCTCAAAAGTTAAGGTGCCTTTAAAGGCAATAATTGATGTAAAAATATTGTTCATTTTATCACATTTAAAGGAATATGAGTGATGTAATGTCATTTCGAAATATGCATAGATTAGTTCTTGATAAGAATACAATAATTGGTGAACATTAGTTAAAGTGTATATGTCATTTTTGAAAATTTTCTACTTTGTGTCTAGAAGTATTGCTTGAATAAACTGCATTTTTATACATCATTTACATACTGTTCCAGTATATGTACATCACATGTATGTTTCCTTGTTATAGTGCAGTGTTCAGCATTTCTTGTGACCAGACAATGTGTTTGGCTTTTCATTTTATAACATGGAATTTGTGTTAATGTTTCTTCCAAAATCTGACTTGCTGATTATTGGATATGGCTTATTGTATTCATAGATGTATTTCCCCGTTGTGTTCATTCATTTTTAAGCATTTTACATGATGTTTGTTTTACATGTGAAACATGTATACGAAGACACATTTTTAATCCAAAATGGTGTACAACATACAAGCATATGGAACATTTACTGTAAATATGATCACTTTTATATGAAGCTTTCGGGTTAATTTTCAACCCTTTAAAATAAGAATGTAGATAATATGTAGGGTGTGTGTGTACATGTGAAAATGTGTGAACGTTTGAGTGGTGATCGCTATATTTTATATTTCTGGATATACTGATGAAATTTTAGTAATCCAACTGTAATTTAGTTGAAGAGTATTTGATATTTCGGTAACTGCCTGCCTTGATTTCTATGATGGGTGTATTTCCCAGTTTTATGAAATGAAATACTTTGGCATGGCATATGTTAGTAATAACATTGAAAATCAGAAAATAATTATGAATATGAAATTAGACATAATATAATTGAAGGAAAATTAGAAAGCACAAAAAATACCAAACATAATTTGGCATGTTGAAGAGAAAAATTGAAATATTTGATAATAAGTCTGCCCGCTGTAGTTTATTTATGTAGCTTTTAGTCAATTATTTAAATTATATTTAGATTTATACTCTGAGTATAAACAGGAAAATATTTTTATTTATCAAAATTATTGTATCCATATGTTCATGTACATATTTTACCCTTATTGTCATAAAGCTTATTTCAATATTTGTACATTTTGTTAGCGATGAATGTAGATATTTATTTAAAGATGTAATAATGTATGGTTTAATTATGGCCGCTGCAGACCTCATTTGTGCATCATTTTATTGCTATAATTGTATATTGGGTAAATCCCATTTTATATAACATGTACATTGTATACCAAGACATGACTATATAAATGAATAAATAAATGAAGAATATAAAATTAAATTCTCTATTTTTATTTGTATTTTTTTCATTGATATTTTTACATGATTTATAAATTATTTCATTGGTCACTATTATGGACATACACACATACATGTACATACAAATAGACATACATACTAGTTTTTATGAATGCTATTTCAGCCCCTATTTAAGCTGGAACTGCAAGTTAATAAGGGAGGGCCTTGTATTTCAAATTTTCTATTCCTACTGCACATTCATATAACAATAAAAAATGGGGCCCTTTTTGAAAAAAATTACAATTCAGGCTCACTTTCAAAAGGATATCAATTCTTATAGCCCAAAATGAAAAATAAAGGGCGAAAAGTCTTCCCCCAACTTTTTACATTACAACCGTGGCCTATCTGCTTTGACCAGAGTTCGACTAGAGTAGCAGTTGAAACAATTCTTCAGTTGTTTAAGAACATGTGTATGAAGGATATAATTATCCCTCATATACTGTAAGTCACCAATGCTGGTTTATAATGCGGATAATCTCATTTTGGTCCTCCAGTTTTACATATATATCCGACCACAGCAGATTTAAAATATCACTATTCCAGAGATCAGATATCTGAGAGGTACTCTGTAGACAACATAAATACATGAAAAGTAGATACACAGACTACAGCACAACAATATTCAACATGACTTTTTTCCTAATTCAGATTCCTTCTATCAATCTCAACTACTTGTGGGTGCAGCTTCTAAATTTAGAAAATGATAATTTTTCCAGATTTCATCTAATGATTTCTTACATTGAATTTTCGCAGAAAATTTTGTGCATAACAGATACGATCCAGAAAGTTTCCTGTGTAGGGAATACGTCTCCTCTGGGGGAGGGGTTAGTCTATGTTTTAACATAACGGGGATTATTGTTTGTATTCTCTGTGTGGTCGTCTGTGTAGAAAAGTCAAATATGTCTTCAGAGAACGCCTCGCCAAGGATCATAACTGCATCAACATGAGCATTCTGCATTGCCTGGAAAAGAGATAATAAATAATTATTATCAGTTTGGAAAAGAGATAATTATTATTAGTTTGGTGGGTGTCATTGTCTCACTTTTATTGTCTGCACATTTCCTAACAATCAACTTTTTGGATTGATTTGAAAATTTCAGGAATGTTCCCTGGTTTAAAATTGAATACAATTTGGGCATGCTGGGTAAATCTTAAGACAGCCACTTTTCATTTGGAAGAAATGTTCACAAAGAGAATGCACTATTTTGTCAGAAAAGCTCACATTTTAATGAAAGGTGTTACCATGTTATTTATTATTACTGGCTACAATACCCTATAAACTTTTAAGGAAAAACGAAGATTGGTGTGATTCTTGCATATCTACTTCTCTATTGTGTTTTGGGGTACACAATGTTACTGTTTGTAATGTAAATGTCTTTACATATGAGACACAAAAGCACTCTACACACAATTACATACAAGGGTTTTATGTAAGACTTGCTTTATATTGCTTTATGTTAAATTTTCATCTTATTACCTTTGACTCATATCCTGTGAGAAAGCCTAGTTTCTTTGACCATTCTAGAACCTCTTCCTTCTTGCCATCTGCTGCTCCCTTTATAATACGAAGGTAGCCATCTACAAAGTTCTCCTTGCTATACTCCCTGGCAGAACCAAAGTCCAATAAACATATCTGAAAACAATTTGCAGTGAAATACCATACCTTAGATTATGTACAGTAAAACCTGTATATCTAAACACATCTCTGATCTGAACAATTTCTCAGTCCCATTTTTGGGATTCAAAACAAAAATGCCATTGTTTTAGAATTGGAAAGAGTATCCCATCATACAACTGATTTCACTCACACCATGTACACACAAATTCATAAAATTGGATAAAATGTCAGTTCAAAACTTCAAAAATATATACATACTCTTTTTGTGGCATTATCATAAAGAAAGTTTGACCAGTTGGGGTCTGTCTGCATATAGTTGAAGACAAACAGCTCCTGAAGACACAATCTCAGTAGATTCTCTGCAATCTGAAACATAGAAAGAAAACCTCATTAATTGGTTTGTTATTTATAATATGTATGTATCACAACAAAATACTGGAACATTCCAATATACAGGCCTCATTTCTTCAAAATGCCTTCACAATTTTCAAATACAACAACTCAATGGTCCAAGTACATTATAATATTCTAATTTGTATGTTATGAATGCTTTAAACTATTTTTTGTGAAAATATGAAAAATTTGAAGAAATCATAAAATTATTGTAAAAATAGATGGCATGACTAAGTTCTTCTGTCTCGGCTACTTTACTGTACTTACAAAATTTTTGGTATCTTGGTCAAGGGACATTGCAGAATCCAGTGGTGCTCCACTCACAAGCTCTGATGTCATGACTCGCTTGGAACTTAGCTCAGAGATCACTTCAGGTACATAAAACACAGGGTCATCTTTTACTAGGGCCCTGCAAGCAAAAACAAATAACAACAAGGCATTAACATTAAATAAGAAATTAACATGAAAACTGCCACCACCTGCCATTTGTTACAGATGCCAATAACTGAACTCTGTCTACACAAAAGTTGGACACTATGTCACCGCTTCTAATTGTGACAATAAAAAGGACATTATAATGTGACATTATGTAACAATTGTTACAGAGTCTGAATGCAAAGCCAAAGTGTTAGCAATTACTGGCCCTATTCAAGAGACTAGAGTATATTTTGAAAACCTGACTTTGCTTTGACGTAACTGCGCATATGTATATCTCCAAAGTAAAACTTGACCAAAATTGTAGGGGTAAAATGAAAGCATTACATTTAGAATTTTGACTTTTAGAACAAAGCACAAATGCTATGCAACAAATATACAAATGCAAAATGGCAAAAAAAGTAATGTGTAGATTGTAAATGACTGAACCTCAGGAACCTCGATTTAAATTGTTATTGATATATGGACATTTTTGTTTTCAGGAGAATAAATATAGATGTCACTTGCCTAAATTTCTGTGAGCTAGCAGCCTCTCTTTCATAATCGCACTCCCAACTGAGCTCTTCCTTTGCTGTCTCAATAAATTCCTCAACATAAAGACCTGTAAAAGAAAGTATTTCCCAGGCTAGTAGATACACATTTGGTGAACACAAATCAATGTTATATGCAGCTTATGTCCCTCATTTATTTAGCTGTTTGTTATATACACATACGAGCGTACAGCAAAACCTGTAAAATGGAACACCTACATGTATGGAAGTAGAATGACTCAATGAGTGGAAAATTTCAAAAGTCCATTGACTTAATGCAAAATGAACCTCTATATATCAATATGTAGAATAAGTCCCAAGTGGAAAACCATTTTGAGGAACCAAAGGCATTCCACATACACAGGTTTTACTGTATATGTTCAATATATTGGTTAAACTGCCCTATGTTGCCTGTTTCTTTTTTGGAAATAACAAAAGCTGAATACATAAATAAATTTAAAATTGAAATATTAAAGACATAGAAGTGTGAAATACAATAATACCTTTAGGAAGTATCTGCCATATATTGAGAACTGCCATTAGATTGTTGATATCACTGTTAATACTGTCAGCTACCCCAGGGTACTGAAATCACATTAACATAGAAGTTATTCATAAGGTGGCACTGTTAATACTGTCAGCTACCCAATGGGTACTGAAATCACATTAACATAGAAGTTATTCATAAGGTGGCACTGTTAATACTGTCAGCTACCCCAGGGTACTGAAATCACATTAACATAGAAGTTATTCATAAGGTGGCACTGTTAATACTGTCAGCTACCCCAGGGTACTGAAATCACATTAACATAGAAGTTATTCATAAGGTGGCACTGTTAATACTGTCAGCTACCCCAGGGTACTGAAATCACATTAACATAGAAGTTATTCATAAGGTGGCACTGTTAATACTGTCAGCTACCCCAGGGTACTGAAATCACATTAACATAGAAGTTATTCATAAGGTGGCACTGTTAATACTGTCAGCTACCCCAGGGTACTGAAATCACATTAACATAGAAGTTATTCATAAGGTGGCACTGTTAATACTGTCAGCTACCCCAGGGTACTGAAATCACATTAACATAGAAGTTATTCATAAGGTGGCACTGTTAATACTGTCAGCTACCCCAGGTTACTGAAATCACATTACCATAGAAGTTATTCATAAGTTGGCACTGTTAATACTGTCAGCTACCCCAGGGTACTGAAATCACATTAACATAGAAGTTATTCATAAGGTGGCACTGTTAATACTGTCAGCTACCCCAGGGTACTGAAATTACATTAACATAGAAGTTATTCATAAGGTGGCACTGTTAATACTATCAGCTACCCCAGGGTACTGAAATCACATTAACATGGAAGTTATTCATAAGGTGGCACTGTTAATACTGTCAGCTACCCCAGGGTACTGAAATCACATTACCATAGAAGTTATTCATAAGGTGGCACTGTTAATACTGTCAGCTACCCCAGGGTACTGAAATCACATTAACATAGAAGTTATTCATAAGGTGGCACTGTTAATACTGTCAGCTACCCCAGGGTACTGAAATCACATTAACATAGAAGTTATTCATAAGGTGGCACTGTTAATACTGTCAGCTACCCCAGGGTACTGAAATCACATTAACATAGAAGTTATTCATAAGGTGGCACTGTTAATACTGTCAGCTACCCCAGGGTACTGAAATCACATTAACATAGAAGTTATTCACAGTGTGGCAATCTGTAGTTCTATTTCAAGGGATGATATCTGACCAATGACATAATTCTACACTTTAATTATTTCGGTAGCACACATTATTATTAACTTAAAGGGTTAAAGATACACATATTATGGCGCATGGCCCTTATTATTACTAACTTCAAGGTTTGCAAATTATTACTAACTCTAAGGTACACATATCATTACTAACTTCAAGGTTTGCATATAATTACTAACTCTAAGGTACACATATAATAATACTAACTCTAAGGTACACATATTATTACTAACTTCAAGGTAAGCATATAATTACTAACTTTTAGGTACACATATCATTACTAACTTCAAGGTTTGCAAGGTAACCATACACATTATTACTAACTTAAGGTATACATTATTATTATTAACTTCAAGGCTCACACATTATTACTGACATGTACTATTACTATCAACATTATATAGAAACCCAAGAACTGACAATGTAAATAATGATGAGTTAAATAAAATTTTTGTAAATATTGTAAATACAGCAAAACAGGAAAAATGTGAACTTTGCATAACAGGAGATTTTAAAATGAGAGAAATAGATTGGAAAAACTGTCAATCAAATATGGGATCTGAACATTTTTCATCCATTTTTCTAGAGAAAACCCAAGAATTATTCCTACATCAACATATAGATCAACCAACAAGAATAGTGCATGGACAAAGGCCGAGCATCCTAGATTAGATATTCTCAAGCAGGGAAGAAAGTGTATCACAGATAGAGTATATAGGTAAGCTTGGACATAGTGACCATATAATTATAAGCTTCAAGATTAGCTCTCACATAGACAAATCAAACACATATGTACCAGATAAAAAACCATGCTACACTAAAGGGGATTATAGCCAGATTAGAAATGATATGGATAATGTAAACTGGACCAATGACCTGGAGAATTTAAGTATCCAAGAGTCATGGAATCTATTTAAGGAGAAACTATGTAGCTCTATTCGCAGTAATGTCCCCTTTATTAGCCGAAAATCTGACAAAAGGAAAAACATCTATATGGACAAAAATGCACTGAATGACTGAATGACTACTTCGCGAGTGTTTTCACTGAAGAGACACTTGATAACATACCCATAATTGAAGATAGAAGTAAAGGCCAACAACTGACCACTATTGACATTACATATGATAAAGTAATGAGAAAGCTCAAGAACCTGAGGCCTTTTAAGTCACCTGGACCAGATGGCATTCACCCAAGGGTACTCAAGGAAACTGCACCTTCAATAGCCAAACCCTTATAAAAAATTCAACCTTGAAAGTCCGAATTTAAACCGTTTCCATCAATCATTGAATACTGATTGTTTCAACTACTAAGATCAAAGGAAAAACCATTGTACAATGATAAGCAATCATTGTGCAACCATTGTGTTCAACCAAGCAAAGTCAACTCTTTTTCAACGACTGCGCAACCATTTCTATACAATCATTGTAATCTGCAACCATTGTAAACTGCAACCATTTCACATTGAAATGTAAACGGTTGCAATATGTTTTGTTCAATGATTATATAGTTCAACCCCTGCAACCATCCTGAATTAGTATCATTCCAATAAATTAATCATTTTACCTGAATTAAAATTATCTTTAAGTAAGGATTTGAATATTCAACAACAGTATATTAGGATTTTTTTTTGCAAGCATACATGCATGTTTATTATAGTAAATAACTAAATTCATGTTTCTTTCTCCAGTACGGATTTATGAATGCGATACCAGACTTATAAATAGATTGGTATGGGAACATATTGATATCAGGTTTAGCTTAGGACCCCCACAAAAGTGTATGTACAATGAACAGGCCAGTAGCCAGCCCCCCTCAGCAAAATGGGTCTTCAAATGTTTCCATATATGTGTAGTTAACACCTAATATCAAGAGTATGACTCACTAAAATTTGAAAAATACAAACAAGAGAACTATTTTGATATTGACTGTATATTATGTATATTATATTATTCACAACAGATTTAATTACCATGTTCTTTCTTGGCAAATATTTTTTATAACAATGCTCAACACAACAATACCTACTACATATTGATATTCTCATGGGTTTAGGCAAATCAAAATGCTTGAACAGCCAATTAAAACAGTTGAACAGCTAATTAAAACGGTTGAACAGCTAATTAAAACGGTTGAACGGCTAATTAAAATGCTTGACCAGAAAAAGGGTTCATAGTCCTAGTTTCTGTTATATCTATTTTCATCTTGTGTTATACTATATTACTATATGTTTATTTTTATTCTCTATTTCATGCAGAGGGGGGGGTAGTAAAAATTTAAATAAAAAGTGTTTTCAGATTTTTGAGGGTTTATTTCTTTATTCAATTACTTCAATAAGTGCTGAGAAATCTCAAATAGCAAGTATATGAAACTGCAAATAATATTTTGAGATTTTTTTTATTTCATTTTTATTTAGTTTGTTTTACCATGGGCATTGAATAGATTGAAAGTCCATGGTTTTACTGTATTCACTAGGGCAGAGCATTTGTACTGAAAAGTGTTTTCAGTTTAAATAATAAGTGTTGATGATTAAAAAATAAAAACCAAAAACAGAAAACTCTAAACTTTGAAAAATCTGGGAGATTTTCTTTGGCAAATTATTCATCAAGTTCTGTGTATGGAATAATTAAATTAAATAGGATGCTTCCTTTATAGCAGACTCTAATCAATTTGAGAGTCTCTCTGTAATAAGGTTTGTTTTGCTTTGCCAAATTATTTTTGTTTTGTTTATGGATTAATAGATTAAAAGTTTCTTTAGACACATCCTTCAAAGCAGACTCTAATCAAACTAGAGAGACTGAGTCTAACTGTAATCAGAGTTTTTTAAGTTGTGTTTATTGACTTAATTATCTAAAACACATCCTGTAATGTCTGATTGCATTTTCTCTATCAAATCTAAAATATCAAATCAATAAACAGATTATTTTCCGATTGAAGGATTTCTTACTTCCAGACACATCTTCCTTCCTTTATAATTGTGATGATTGCAAGGTGAAGTGTAAAATCCAAGACTTGACCCAAGCAAAAAAATGTCAAATGTTTTTGCAATAACTTATAAAGTTTTGAAGGGATTTCGTAAAAATGATAGTCATGACAGCGAGGGGATTTGCTATGCCTTAGCATTGCTGTTATCTAGATAATATACATGTGAGTGGGACAATCACCATCCGTCAAAGTTAGATGAAAATTTAAGTTAGGTTCAATATATCTTCATTCACAAGACAAGTTTACTAAACTATTTCAGTACTTTAAATATCTTTTTGATCAAACCATTTTAATTCTGACATGTATGCATGAAATACATACATTTGAAATATATTTTTTAAAGAGCAAGATAATTATTTTATGTTGTATTGAGATAATATTGCCATAGTTTTAAAGGGTTGTATTCGATTGAAATGATTGCAAGAAATGCAACCAAAATTGTCAAGCGTTTACAATGGTTACATATGATTGAAACATTTTCAATGAGTTTACAACCAAAATTGTAATGGTTGCATCGTAACGGTTCATTTCATTTTCATTTCATTTATTTATTTTCAAACATCTGGTGAAGCATACAGATAAGGCGGATGACACCCTAATGGGCATATTATCCGCACGTTTGGCATGGTTGCATAAATGATCGGATCAATGATTGTACAATGATTGTGCAACGGTTTAAATTCGGACTTTCAAGGTTCAATTTTTTATAAGGGAAGCCCTAACAATAATTTTCAACAAGTCACTGAACACAGGAGAAGTCCCCAAGGACTGGCGGGAGGCTGAGATTGTCACAATACACAAAAGTGGCCAAAGAGATCTAGCAGAGAACTACAGACCCATCAGTTTAACTAGCGTGTGTTGCAAGTTACTAGAATCCATTATAAGGGATTCTTACCAGGAAAATCATGTATCACGCAACTCCTAACTGTAATGGAAAAGTGGACGGAGAGACTTGATAATGGAACAAGATTAGACACAATATATTTTGACCTGGCGAAAGCGTTTGATACGGTGCCCTACCAGAGACTACTAAAAAAACTTGAAAGTGTTGGAATTAGAGGTAATGTACTTCAGTGGATAAGAGGTTTTCTTACAAACAGGACACAGACAGTGAAAGTTAACACTAGCACATCCTCACCAAAGCCAGTGGCCTCCGGAATACCTCAAGGAACCGTTTTGGGGCCGTCCCTGTTCATCATATACATCAACGATGCTCCAGACAAGATCAGGAACTCGATAAAGATTTTTGCGGATGATACTAAACTATACGGAGAAAGTGAAACTGAGGAACAGCGGCAAAGTCTCCAACATGATATAAACACTCTAACAGACTGGTCAAATAAATGGCAAATGAGATTCAATCAAAAAAAGTGCTAAGTGCTAAACTTAGGCAGAAAGAATATGAATACGAACCATAAGTATAAACTTGATGGTAAAGACATTGAATCAGTGTCAGAACAAAAGGACTTAGTCAAGTAGCTAAGAAAGCCAATAGTAAACTAGGTATTATTAAAAGGAGTTTCACACACATAAAGGAAAATATAATTCCACTGTATAAATCCATGATCCGACCAATTCTAGACTACGGAAATAGCATCTGGCATCCAAGATTCCTAGGCGATAACAGAAAAATAGAGCAAATACAAAGACGAGCTACTAAATTAATACCTGGAATAAAGGATAAGCCCTACCAAGAAAGACTGAAAGAGCTAAAACTACATTCACTTCAATATAGACGCAGAAGGGGCGACATGATCCAAGTCTTTAAAATCATGAATGGAATCGACACAATAGAGCCAAGCTCCTTCTTTACTAAGGTTACCACTACCACCAGAGGGCATTCTTTGAAGCTATACAAGCATCACTGCAACACTACTGTGAGAAGAAACTCCTTCAGCAACAGGGTTATTGATGACTGGAACAGCCTTCCTGAGATGATTGTGATGTCTGACAGTGTAGATCAGTTTAAAGGGAGGCTAGACAGATTTTGGCAAACTTACCACTATGATATAGTTTAATTGAATATGAACTATAAATAATAAAGATCTGAGCATTAACAGGACTGTTAGTTAAGACCTACAAGCTCAGAACTTGATGATGATGATGAACATTATCAAAAAATTCTAGAAAAATAACAAATACTTAAACCAAACTAATTACAATATTGCCTCCAAGGGTACTATAAAAAGAATTATTACCACCTTGCCGGGCCGGTTCTAGGGGTTTTAGTGCTAGTTAAGAAGGCATTCATTTTACTATATCGACCTGAGAAATGTGTGACGTCATAGTGGTGGTCCATATGGACCGGTCTAGAATATATTCTGGACCGGCAATTTTTCTAATAATGTCATTTCTGCGAGCAATATAGTGAAATATTGGACCTTGGGCCCTTGGTCCAATATTTCACTATATTGCCCTTAGAAATGACGTTATTGTAATATTGAGGCAGAAACTGACATAATCACCAAATATTTTTGTCAATTTTGTAACTAGTATAGGACTAGATTCTGACCTCTAATTTCTCATAACCTTGGCAAAGCATTGCTTACATTTAATAAAATAAAAGAGCCTCTTTAGAAATGAGAGTGCATTAACATTTCATTGAACTGCAAGTCAATATATTGTATATCTTCAACTATTACCAATTGCTTTCAACTTCCTATTCAAAGATACTTTTTTTGCTAACCGCATTAAGTTTTCTATTCAATGTATACACCGTTTTGTGCTTACCTGGATTGTAATTGTGTTAATCAAATATGGGCACAAAGTTATTGAACTCACAATTTAATACCCTTGAAAATGATACACAACTTCTAAAATGTTAAATGTGATATTCTCAAACACTGTGAGCCCCTTGCCATCTTATGAATGATGGGGAAACATCCATAGCTTGTTAGTCTGTGAATCTGATTGTTCTTTATGTAAACATTTCTTGTGTCAATTTCTCAGTTTAAAATGTCTGATTTTGATTGGTTTGGAAAAAAGTAAACTTTTAGAAATTCCCAATATGCTTGTTAATTGAAACCTAAACAGTAAAGGATTGGTATTGATATGATGAACTTTTGACTAGTCATCAAAAAATTCAGAAAATTTTACACATCATCAATTTAATGGTCATCTTTTGAATGGTAACAATGTAATTTAAACAAAATATATATACTTTTCTCTATACATCTTTCTTTTGTTCTTGGTATCATATGTTCGGAATGAAATGAAACATCTATCCAAACCTCATTGGAAAAAAACGACATAAACACAACGTGTTTAGGTATCTCAATATTGTAATTGTACAAAGGATAATTTGGTTGATTTTAAAAAGTATCTTGTTAATGAAATAAAAGGTTTATCTTAATTTTTTTTATCTATTTTGTTTTAATTTTTTGAATACTTTTTGTTAAATCAAGCAAAATTTCATTTGTATAACTAACAATAACATTGGGAGGTGTAAGAAAATGTTGTATATGCTATTTTGTTCCAACAAGGTTCGGAAAGACATTTCATTTCATTCTCAAGAATTAGTAGAAAGTAACAAAAACAATTGCACTAAAAAACCAAAAATGTTAAAAAAACATTTATATAAAATATATATTAATAATTTTCGCATTAAATTGTATTCAATCAGTCAACATTACATAAAGGACCATGTTTTTTTTACAGAATGTTATCAATATTTGGTTTAAGAGAAGAGCATTGTGGAATTCAGTTCACCATATCGATACCTATCCTTTAGGGGCTACTCCTATTGAAAAAAATTTGTAAAGGAAATAAGGAAATATTCATAATTCAGGTTTTGTACAACTTCCAACAATTTCTGGCGTCTGAAGCAGCTTTAAATTATATTGAACATGTTGAATTGGTCAATCACTTATCATTCCCAAACACCTGATTAAACATAGATATTGTATAACCTTGGGAATATAATGGGCCTGTATGTTTTCTTTGAACAAATATCTATTTAAATTGGTTCAACTTAGAGGTGCACAGAGGTTACATTCAGTATTTTCACTTCTTTTCAACAACGCAAAAGGCCAGAGTGCAAAGGAAACAACAACACAGGTCAACTGTTTAAGAGAACGTTTAGCAAAAAATGGATTTCATTCTTACGATAGGACTGATCTCATTGATCATCATTGCATATTTGGTGCTATGGCCTAAACGCAATCTTCCACCAGGATTGCCTTCATGGCCGATTTTGGGAAGTCTACCTTACTTGGACATCAAGAACCTACTGGAACAACTTCTTAAACTGCACAGAAAATATGGAGACGTCATGACAATCCACATGGGCAGCAAACCATATGTATTCCTGAATAGCTACAATGTAATCAAGGAAGCATTTGTAGCGCAGAAGGAATATTTCTCAGATCGGCCAGACAGCCTTTTTGTGAATATGTTAGCAAGAGTGAAAGGTAAATCGGCGTGTTGTACACTAATCAAATTGTGAATTGCGATATAAGGTTATTTCACATCAGGTTATTTCACATTCACACATAGCTAGGTGAGGTGTGTCTGATTCTAGCCAATCCGAAAGGAGTATTTCATATTACTACCATAAATTATATAACCAATCTCCGCATCCAAGGTCATTCCTTATGCAGTAGTCAAGGTGACATCTTGACCCTACAGACTGAAACTGATGCTTTGCCAACTTGACCCTTGCAAAATGTTTCATTGAAAATATGTCCTTTTAGTGATTTCATATAATCACAATAATTTGCAATGTGTGAAAATAATTTAAGAGCATTTAAAGGACCATCATTCCAATCAAAATGATTTTTGATTTAGTAATTTTCAAGTTAAAGTATAATGTCGATTTCTGGTACTTTGAAAATATATGTCAACATCTCTCTACCAATCATGTCATCTTCTAGGTGAGACTGGAATGATTTTGGCTAAAGGAGATACTCGCAATCATGTAAGGGGAATCGTTGCCAAAGCACTCAACAAAACCTTCAACGTTGGGAAAACACAGTTTGAAAACAATGTTATGGAAGAGGTCCATGTATTATTAGACCACTTGGATGAAAAAACAAAGCCATATGACATGCGCTGGAGTTTAACAATGTGCACATCAAACATTGTCCATGTGCTCAATTTGGGAAAACGGTTTGCATATGATGATGAGAGCTTCCAGGAACAGCTAGAAGGTATAATTATTATTATGATATATAAAATTCAGTTCAAAAAGACCACTGCTTTATCATGATATTACTTTAGTCAACCAAGATGTACTAATTGTGTATGTGAACCTAGCTATACGTTTTTGGCCAATACTTCACCATATTAGAAATATACCAATTCATACCTCTCAAAGATTTGTTATTCTAGGCAAAATTGATTATTTTGTCATGTGTTTAAGCTGAAACTGAACCAATTTTTCAAACAGATTTTTGAAAATTTTGCTTATACATAGTTCTCTTTGTTATTTTAGGTGAAAAAGAGCTGTTTGAATTCTTTATAAAGGCACAGATTCTTGATCCATTCCCGTTGTTACGCTTCCTCCCTGGTGATATATTTGGTTATAAAAAATGTTTGGCTAACCAAACAATAAGAAACAAATTCTTCACAAAACATTTAGAAGAGAATCAGGAAAATGACTGCTTGCTTAAACATTGGAAAGAAATGGCAAAAGAAGATCCAAACTCAATTGAAAGTGAGTATCCATGAATAAAGGATCAAAAATTATTCTTACAAGAATGTCAAAACCATTTTACTGTCAAAAGATAATCGTGAAGAATTGGGAATGATTTAAAGCACACAATTACAACATAATAACAAGGAATATGTTTTTTCAAGTGAGGAGGAAGAGATAGCCAATTTGGATTTATAAGTCATCTTGTGAATTAAACATTTCGATTTGCAAAAATCTTTGGAAAGTATAAAATATGTTATGTTTTTGATTGTAGTCGAAAGTCTCATAGTTTTGGTCTATGAACTTTTTGAAGGAAGTATTCATACAAATAGCTCAACTCTTTACATTGCTTTGGCATACATGCTTAACAACCCTGGTGTACAAGAAAAGGTATGTCATCACATATATTTGAAAACATACAAAAACATGTGGGTATAAACCGGGGGGTATAACTATGTAATACTAGTCTACAATATTGTAAACATTTAACTCAGTAAATACTCGATGATTTGTTAACTTCTGTATGTGTGCCGCAAGGTTCATCAATAGCCCCTACTTAGAGAAATAACTAACTACAATGAAATGTATATTCCCAGATCCATAAGCTGATTGATGAGAACATTGGACAAGATCGGCAACCAACCATAGCTGATCGAAAACACCTCCAGTACATTGATGCAGTATGCTACGAAACCCTACGTTTGATGCCAATTGGTCCAATGGGTATACCCCATATATGTTCCAAAACCACAACATTGGCTGGATACACAATTCCAGAGTCAGCGATTCTTATACCAAACTTGTATGCTGTCCACCATGATCCAAATACATGGCCTAACCCTGAGAAGTTTGACCCATCTCGCTTCATTGATGAAGAAGGAAAGCTGCAAAATCATGATAAGATTATTCCTTTTTCCATGGGTGAGTGTTCTCATTGCCTTCATTTTCTATTAATTCTATTTTTTATCATACCATAATTTGTATTTCATTTCAATTCAAATAAACCGTACATCAAAATAAATGGAAGACCCCCTAATGGGAGTTTTATCCACATTATAACATTATAAAATGAAAGAAATAACAAAATGTCCACATCAGGACAAAAAATATGTCTAGCTTTAACTCTAATTTTAGGGAAGCGTGTATGCCCAGGTAAAGAAGTGGCCAAAATGTCATTATTCTTGGTACTAACATCATTGCTCCAGAGATACCACTTCTCAGTGCCCCCTGGTGAGAGCCCACCAAGTCTAAAAGTGAAACTTGGGTTAACATTGGAACTGGAGACACCCTACAAAGTTTGCATTATAAAAAGATAAAGATATGTAGGCCAAAGGGTGTTAAATTCTGGTATATAAATTCAGACAATTCAAAAGAGAATCACCTTTATATCTTATTAAAAAACATGACATCAATTTTAAATCTTGAAACATATTCAAATTCTATGATTTAACAGGACTGACATTTACTTTATTCTACGATATTCATCTTTAGGATTTATATACATAATTACTTGAACTGTTCTTTATTAGAGGCTTCAAGGTCAAGGTCACATTGTTATAATTTCTTGTAAACAAAACTAACATCAAAGATATTTATCAATATTGATAAACAGTTAGGCGCATCATTGATTGAACATGAGTTAAGTATCCTTTACATCATTGTACTAGTAATCTTTATAGATAGTTTTTTGTAAATATATTTTTAAAATTTTTATAATATGTTTTGTTGTCTTCACACCTTCTGGTATCTTTCGATAGATCCAGCTAACTATGTGAGCACCAGTGACAGTACCTTCTTTTATATATAATAGATGTCTATGTATGTTTATAAACTGTACAAAACACAACAAAAAACTGTATAGTACCCATATGTAGGACAGACTGACATGATTTACACGAAAACAGCAACTCCACAGAGTAGCAAATCCCACCCAACAAAAGACATTTTGATAACGAGGGGCTATCTTGAAAATTTCATCTTGAACAGAGCATATCAGCATCTAAAATTTGAACCAAATCCATCTACTGGTATTTGAGATATCAAAGATTACATTTTCTACGAAAAATGATGGCTATTAAAATACAGCCTCCATCTTGAAAATTTCTTCTTGAACAGAGCTCATTTGTCCCTAGGAAGCAGCATATAAAATTTGAACCGAATCCATTCACTGGCATTACGTATTTTTTTATGAAAAATGGCAGCTATTTTGAAAATTCTTTCTTGAACAGAGCTACTGTGTTCCGAGACATCAGCACATAAAATGTAAAAGAAATCAGTTCACTAATATTTGGGTCATCAAAGATTACGTTTTTTATGAAGAATGGCAGCCACTTCGAAATATAGATGTGATCTTGAGAATTCTTTGTCATACAGAGCTAGTGTGTCTCAAGGCATCAGCATATAAAATCTGATATGCTATCTGAGTTATCAAAAATTATTTTTCTACGAAAACTGGCGGCCATTTTGAATGAGCAACGATCTTGAAAATCTCTTCTTGAATCAACTTTCATTGTTCAAGGGCATCAGCATATAAAATTTGAACCAAATCCATCAACTAGTATTTGAGTAATCAAAAATAACATTTTTTACGAAAAATGGTGGCCATTTTGAATTAAGTGGTCATATTGGAATCTCCTTCTCAAGCAGAGGTCCTACACCCATAAGGCATAAGCATTTAAAATTTGAATCAAATCCACCAACAGGTATTTGAGTAATCGCCCAGACTCACAAACTGACGGAAGAATGGATGGACGGACCAATGGATAGTCAGCTTTCCTATATCTACCTCGAACATGTTCGTTGGGTTAACTTATAACTATGTAATTTTTATGGCCCTTGGGGGTCAGGGTGAAAATCACAGAATATATGTGAAAAAGATAGAAGTTGTGAATATACTACCAAAATGTCGAACAATAATATTTATTACTTTTGTTAAAAAGGAAAAACTTGTGATTTTTGCGAAAAGGTCCAGCCATTTTTGAAGTGATGGCCATTTTGAAAACATTTTTTTGCCTAAAATTATTTACCAATATACATCTTTCCACCAAATATGAAATAATTCATCTACTGCACTAGTATTTGAGTTATCTTCCAGACAGACAGACGAATGGAGGGCTTCACTTTATCCCTACTGAGTTTCATTTGTTGGGATAATAAAAGTATCATATATTATTATTTACACTCTAACTCTTGACTTGTTAACATTAACAAGCTTAACTCATACAGTTGCAGAACAGTTGCAGCACCATTTATTTGGCGATGGATTTCATTGTAACTATAGGGTTGATCTTACTGGTCATATCTGGATGCTTGGTACTGTGGCCTAAACCTAACCTTCCACCAGGATTGCCTTCATGGCCGATAGTGGGGAGTCTACCTTACTTGGACATCAAGAACCTCCTGGAACAACTTCTTAAACTGCCCAGAAAATATGGAGACATCATGACAATTCACATGGGCAGCAAACCATACATATTCCTGAATAGCTACGATGTAATCAAGGAAGCATTTGTGGCGCAGAAGGAATATTTCTCAGATCGGCCAGACAGCCTTTTTGTGAATATGTTAGGCAGAGTGAACGGTAAGTTAGCACATTGAATTTCAATCAAATTGTTAATTGCGATATAAGGTTATTTCACATTAATTATATTAAAAGTAACATATTTGGACTTCATGATTTGAAATTTTCCCTCAAAACAAATAGCATTCAGGTTTATGATAATATACAGCATAATTTACATCTAATAAGCTTTCCAAAAAAGAAGTCAATGAACAGCAAAAGACAAGGAATTGAGTTTTTAGAAACAGAAATAAGTGAATTTCAAAAACTGGGAAAAACCTTTAGTTAGCCTTTTTCTTAATATGTTAGCAAAAATGTGAGAAAAAACAAATTTTAAAAAAATTGCACATATTATTTTCTAGTACAAAATAAAGTATAAAGGCATGGGTGTATTTCCTTTTTTTTCGGGAAAGCATCCTTGTTGCATATGATTTAGTGAATTAGAAATGGGTGCCCTGCAACAGAACCAGAACATCAGCTTCATCAAGGAAGGAAAACCCAAAGCTGCAAACTCCTCCAACAAATCACAGCCCAGCTCTAGTATCTTAGTGAGCACAACAGACTGGCAAGTCCAAGTATACCTGCACCAGAATTAAATCAAATTAAGATTCAGCAGCCATTTTCAATTTGAATTAAAAATTTGAACCAAATCCGTCTACTAGTATTTGATTACATGTTTTACAAAAAATGGTGGCCATTTTGGATTCAGAAGCCATGTTGAAAATTGAGGTCCTATACCCATAAGGCATAAGCCTATAAAATTTTAGTCAAATCTGTCAACCGGTATTTGAGTTATCACCTGGACACACGAACGAATGGACAGAGAGCTTTTCTATACCTCACTCGACCTTAAATTGGTGGGATAATTAGGGGGATGTTGACAGCTTTTATCTCTGGGTTTAAAGGTCTTGGTCACCTGTACAACATCTAATAAAAAAAAAATGTGCTAATAATCTCCAAACAACCTTACAGTTTCCGACTTGCCAGCCAATTTTGGTCAAACAACTCTTCAATTTGGCTCATTTTTTAGAAATGTGTCTGTGGTATTAGGATGATTTTCAGTGCAGTAGTATTCAAGGAATCACACGATTTGTTTTGAATAAATGTCAGCATCTTTCAATGAATCAAGTTTTTTTTTTCTAGGTGAGTATGGAATGATCTTAGCAAGAGGAGATAGTCGCGATCATATTAGAGGTATTGTGGCAAAAGCACTCAACAAAACCTTCAATGTGGGGAAAACACAGTTTGAAAACAATATAATGGAAGAGGCCCATGTGTTATTAGACCACTTGGATGAAAAAACCACAGAGCCATATGACATGCACTGGAGTCTAACAATGTGCACATCAAACATTGTTCATGTGCTCAATTTGGGAAAAAGGTTTGCCTATGATGATCAAAGTTTCCAAGAACAGCTAGCAGGTATAGTGGTTATGGTATACACAATGTGATAAAATTTTGTTTAAATATGTCATTGTCTTATTATGGTTATACATGTTCCATGGTTATGTACATCATAATGTGTTTGATAAATATACAAGTACCCCAAATTAGGTATGAACTTTAAATTGTAAATGGAGTTGATTTGTCAAATGGATTGATAAAGTTTTACTTATACATCTTTGTTGTTTTAGGTGAAACAGAGTTGCTTGAAATCTTTATCAAGGCACAGATTCTTGATCCATTCCCATTGTTACGCTTCCTCCCTGGTGATATATTTGGTTATAAAAAATGTCTAGCTAACCAAACAAGGAGAAACGAATTCTTCACAAAACATTTAGAGGAGGATCAGGAAAATGACTGCTTGCTTAAACATTGGAAGGAAATGGCAAAAGAAGATCCAAACTCAATTGAAAGTGAGTATCCATCATCATATATGTAACTACATGTATCTGGTGATGCTTTTAGATATCCCTGGGCTGTGTAAATAACAACTGCCAAAATTTGACATTTTTACAACATACTAGAAATTCTACAATGTGCTGATATACTAGTAGCTATACTTTAAAACAGATGGCAGCCAATATTGCCAGACAGGGTTGTGACAAGGAAGCATTGGACACGCCTAATCATCGACAACATACAGTGACAAAATATACCGTAGTACACTTTAGATGAATGGTGTCACTATTTAACCGATTTGAAGCAAAGACAATGATGTAGGTTTGATGCAGATTTTAAAAAAAAGAAATCTGAGGATTACATTAAGGATTTCATGTTTAATTTTTGTGTATTCGTTTAGGAAGACATTTAACTTTCTAATAACGTTAAAAGATTTTCGAACAGTGCTCGATTTTTTCATAGTCAATCTACCCATATAATTGGTCAGTAGGAAAATGTTGTTTTTTTACACATTTCCTTTGATCATTTCCTCCCTTGTCGTCTAAGAGTGCCAAACATTTTTTGAGAATATGTTTCTTTAAACTACACAATTAAGGTCTGTTGAAGATTTAATAAGTATTAACGTTTTGGCTTAATTTAAAAAATCATAAGTGTACGTTGTCAACTCGAATGTACATTGTCCCATTGAACTTACTCAATATTTTTCATAACACTAACAGACAGGGGGGTCAGATGCATTTAAAATTGAAACAGAACAATTACAGAATTACTTCAATTTGATTGAACTATTGAAACAATTGAGCAATTTCCAGATATATCATGAACAGGATTTTAAAAAGTCATATTCAATAAGCTATTCTATCTATCAATGTAACTAACAAAACGTAATGTACAGACACCAAAAAATCAAAGAGGCTGGAGGCAAACTCCGTGGCAGTGCTAGTCTTCAACATATTCTATTTCACGACATTGGATGGGACTTTGGGCTGGAAGCTAACACCCAATGGGCATAAATTAACCACCACCACAACAATACTTTCATAAAATGAAAAAGCAAAAAGGATACTTGAACATGTTCATTAAAGATCACTTGGAATGAAATCATTACATTGTTTAATATTACGTATATCTCATGAATTTCAATTACAGGGACAACGTACATTCGAGTTGACAACGCATATTTCTGATTTTTTTAAATTTCAATAAATACTTGAATATTTATCAATCTCCACCCGTCCTGAATTGTGTAGTTTAGAGAAACATATTCTCATAAAAATATTCGACACTCTTAGACAACAGGCGAGGAAATGATCAAAGGAAATGTGTAAAAACAACATTTTTCAACAGACCAATTATATGAGTAGATTAACCAAGAAAAAAATTGAGCACTGTTTGAAAATCTTTTAACGTTACTAGAAAGTTAAATGTCTTCCCAAACAAATACACATGAAATCAAACTTGAAATAGTCTTTAATAACATAACATAACATAACATATAGGTTACCAAAAAGATTAAAGACTATTGTGCAATTGTGATGTTAACATTTGTAAATTATATTGTTTGGAAATCCTCTGTACATGGAGATGGGCTGTTGAAAATAGTATCTATTTGTAAAATGTAAAATAATTTATCATATATTTAAGGTATGGAGTATATATTATAAAACCATGGTAACCCATATGTTCTTGAAGACTATTGTGCAATTGTGGTGTAAACATTTGTAAATTATATTATTTGGAAATCCTCTGTACATGGAGATGAGCTGTTCAAAATTGTATTTATTGTAAAATTTTAAATAATTATATGAACATGTATGTATATCATGTATGATGTATGTGTAAGATCCAATAAAAAAAAAAAAAAAAAAAAAAAAAAAAAGAAATCAAACTTGAAATCCTTAATGTATTGCTCAGATAATTTTTTTAAAACCTACATCATTGTCTTTGCTTTAAATCATTTAATAGTGACACCGTACATCTAAAGTGTACTATGGTATATTTTGTCACTGTACATTGTCGATGGTCAGGCGTGTTGGAAAGTGTTAAATAATTTATATTATCTATTCTAGCCAAACGTCTTATAGTGATGGTCTATGAACTTTACCAGGCAAGTCTTCATTCAACAAGATCAGTTCTCTACATAACTTTGGCATACTTGCTAAACAACCCAGATGTCCAAGATAAGGTATGTCGAGCACAGTATGATAAATCTCAAGGCCATAAATAATTGGAATTGGAATACAGAAATACAAAATAGATCTATTACTTAGAGAAATTACAAACTTCAAATAAATATACATGTACATTTTATAGATCCATAGGTTGATTGACGAGAACATTGGACAAGATCGGCAACCAACCATAGCAGATCGAAAGCAGCTCCAGTACATTGATGCAGTATGTTACGAATCCCTACGTTTAATGCCAGTTGGGCCAATGGCTGTACCTCATGTATGTTCCAAAACCACAACATTGGCTGGATACACAATTCCAGAGTCAACGATTCTTATACCAAACTTATATGCTGTCCACCATGATCCAAATACGTGGCCTAATCCTGAGAAGTTTGACCCATCTCGCTTCATTGATGAAGAGGGAAAGCTGCAGAATCATGACAAGATTATTCCCTTTTCCATGGGTGAGTTTTAAATTTCCTAGTGTGATAGTATCCAAATCTTTATGATAACTCCAGTGCATTGGCTCAAGTATAACACCTTAATTATACAGGGCGTCCACAAAAAAAGTATACCCAACTTCAAATCCAAATTACTGGAATCCTAAGCATTTTTTTAAAAATACAAAGGTAGTAGTAAAAAGCCTGATTTATTCTCCATCAAATGGTACCAAGATCATAATGTAACTGTCATGTATGACTGAGTAATCTTGACCATCATGAGAGGTGGTAAAATTAGCACTGGGCCAAGTTACCTTCATGTGTGGCAATTGATTTGTAATTGGCTTAGCATTCTTTTTCTGTTACATTAAGTCAGAGGACAGACCTTCCATACTGAACTGGACTTGGGACTGAGTAACTCTCTTATGAAAAAGGTTTTGCAAAAAGCTTAACTTACTCTAAAATAGGCCTGCAGAAATGGTTCAACTGACACCTGAGTAGTAGAGCCAACAAAAAGTTCTAAAAGGCAAATCCCATGAACTGTTTATAGAACCACTATTCTTACTATTGAAATGAATTCTAGCAATACTGTCCCACATTAATCTACTTGTTTAGACTCAATAAACTTGAGTTTTTCTGAGAAAATGAGGATTTCAGCAAGGGTTACTGTCTTTACATGGGGATACAATTGACTTCAAAGCTGCATATCAGCAAGTAGAAGTTTCATTGCTGTTCAAGAGACTCTTCGGATCCAATTTCTCGACAGGGAGGTACAGACTAAAAGTTATGGAAAATTATGCAAAAGTGTGAAGAACATAAAACAAGTATCAATTTGAACATTAATAATGTTTTGAACACAAAAAACATCCACTTTGTCATTCCTACTTGAATGCTAATTTGGCACAGTGCTGATTTTACCACCTTTCATAAAAGTCAAGATTGCTCAGTCATCCATGACAGTTACATAATGATCCAGGTACCATTGGATGGAGGACAAACTAGGCCTTTTACTGCTACCTTTTTATTTTTTTAAAATTGCTCAGAATTCTGGTAACCTGGCATTGAAGTTGGGTATACTTTTTTTGTGGACGCCCTGTAGATTCATTTTTACTGTACTCTTCAAACTAGAGGGGAATATATAAGCGCAAAAGCCAAAGGGAAGGGTGACTAAAAACTTTAAAGAAACCCAACAAGAAAAGCAAACTGTAAGTGTAAATCTGTCATAAGAAAAGTAGACCCTATATATCCCCAAACCATGATCTAACGTGAAAAGAAACAATGTCTAACATCCCCCTCCCCCTCCAATCGAGAACCAATATCACAATCCAGGACCAGAACACCAAGGGACATTTCATTCATACTGACGTCATTACAATACATGTTGAAGAAAAATTGAAAAAATTGATAACCAATACTCATAATATCAAAAATAGTTATAGATACTAGTACTCACAAAAGATAGAGTATTCAGTTTCAAATGATGTGGGATAGATAAAATCCAGTCTCGAAGTCCATAGGCAATTCAAAGGGTCAACATCCATTGGCAAAGAAATAGATTCGTGTTGGTAACAAAATGTCGAAACCTAGAAGGATGATTTTTCTTTTTTCCTTATTTCACAAGTTGTAGGCAGAATCTCCAAAACAATCTCATTTGTTTAAGATATAATACCTCAATATTGTTACGTAATTGGAACCAGCTAAAAGTGCAGATTTTAACTGTGTTTGAAGTTCCGTTAATGTAACTTATGTATTTAATTTGTGATTAAAATGTTGTGGAAATTCTGCCTATAACTCGTAAAATAATGAAAAAAGAGAAAAATTGTAACTTGGCGTAAATGTGCATGTTCGTTTTTCTCTTCAATCATTTCGCCCGTTTCTTCATGAATTGGTAGTATGATTGAAATGCTTGAAACGGCGAAACAGGCGCAAACAGCGAAACTTTGAAATTAATTTCAAAGGCGAATCGATTGAAACGATTGAAATGCTCAAAATGACATAAGCATTGAAACGTAGGAAATGATGCAAGCATTGAAACCATTAAATTGGTTGAAACGATTGAAACAATTGAAACAATTGAAGCGCTATTTACAGTGTATACAGGGCTTAAGAGCAACTTTACAGGAACTAAGCACATGTCTGAGTGAGGCAGGTTTGTCTTCACAAAGGGCATGTTGGATCATCCAGCATGTTCCACAAGGCCAGATTAGTTTTTTGACATTCCGTATGGCAAAATGCCCTTTTAGGATCTGGTATGAGAATGCCCCAACATTATGACTTTCGAGGGATGGAAATGGTCAGAATTTTCCACTTTCTGGTATGAGAATGATCGTGGTATGGCATTGGTCTTAGTAGTTATACTTACACATATCCTTAATTTGAGGTTGTAATGGGACATTTTCCTCATATATCGCCTTATTCTTAGGACCTTCTTCAGTTTAAATATTAGCCTTTTCCCGGGAAATATTCTACTTTGGACCAATCATAGCAATGGTACAGCATTTCTCCTATATTTAGATATTTGGTATGGCATTGGTCCTATATTTAGACATTTGATATGGCATTGGTCTTATATTTGGACATTTGGTATGGCTTTTAGGCATTATATTGCTTGTTATGGGAACAGATTAAAATTTGACAATTTGGAATGGGAATGTATTGATATCCGAAGGTTCAGCCAAGGACCCCTGTCGAAGTTAGTATACAGTGAACCCCACCAAGACACCTTCTAAGGGGCGGGGTCAAAATATCGATGTTCATATGGAGACAAAAGTACTTTCGCAAGGGGGGAGGGGGTTTTTGGGCACTTTCGTTGACCAAAAAAACATCGATAATTCGGATCTGATATACAAAAAATAATTGGACTTACCCACTTTTTCTGGCGCTATGTTCTGATAAAACGGCTTGTTTTCAATAGTTGGTGAGCTTTTTTGTGTGATAGGTCCAAAATATCGGTAGATAAAGACGATAATTCGATCATTTTTCAAATAAATTCCGTACTTTTCCCTCCTCCTTTTGAAGAGTTCAATGCAGTTAAATTGCGAACGTGTGTTAATTCACCGTAATAACAACCCGGCAAATAGGATACGATTATGCCTCTCAGTCACTGAAAATCAATGTTTTTTTGAAGTGACCTAAGCTTTCGTCTAGAGGGGGGGTGGGGGGTTGTTGTCCAAATGAAATTACTTTCGTCTCCATATGAACATTGATATTTTGACCCCGCCCCTAAGATACCTGCTGACAATTCTCTCTATTTTCTCCACTAATGTGAGGGGCAAATCATATAGAGCAAAAGGCCAGCTGAGTCTGGACAGGATGCCATGCTGTGAACACTCTATCAAGACACTTCCTAATGCTGGGAGAACTCAAGTTATCAGTTTCCAGAAAGCTGGGGAAGAAGCAAGGACTAAACATCAACATAAAGCTTACAGAGGTATTCTAGATTCAGCAGCAGGCTGGAAGTTGAGAGCAGTTCTAACCAAGCAGCTTGTCTTTCCTCCAGAAGTGGCCATCACAAACCTAAGACCTGGTATCGTCATTACTTCGAAAACTACTAAATGTGTTATTCTGGTTGAACTGACAGTCCCTTTGGAAGAGCAAATTGAAGAATCTAATGACATCAAACGTGCGAAATATTTAGCAGAAGCTCACCAGGGAGGTTGGAAATCACGTTATTTTCCAGTAGAAGTAGGTTGTAGAGGCTTTTCTGCAAAATCATTGAATATATAAGCACAAATGCCAAAGATGAGATGATTGGCTCCATCAATAATACTTGCATTTTGACCCTTTGCGTAACTACAGTTTGCAAATGCACACCTACTAGCCTGCGTTTTCATTTGTAGTTCTATGTATGTAACTGAGCTATGTCTGCAACAATGGTGTTCATAGAACAACCAACAACATTCACCAACCTTGGTGAAGGTGTAATGTTATGGGTGTTCCACTTTGGAGAACATTGTGGATGGGATGTATACTGCAAAAGGTGCTCACTGGTCCTAGCCCGACCTTGCACACGGCAGACATATCAGTAATTTAAGTGCATCGGAACTTTAGAAAGTTTCTCTACGAATAATTGGAGTAATTTTAGGGTCTAGTAAGACTTTTTGGGACTAGTTCTTTATTTTTATGTTACCACCGGAACCTTGAAACTTGTTTTTAAGCTAAGATAGAGTTTAATAGCATAACCTAGACTTTAAACAGTTTTTTCACAAAATTACTTGTCTCGAAAATATACAAGGTCATGGGAATATGTCAGCTTCAGAGTACATGCTCTCGTTTTGTCATAGACATACAGCAGCTCATTTATCAAAGGTTTATATTCAGTAACCTATCCAGGCTACAGAGCAACCTGACCCATGATCAACATGCCGATGAATGCATGTAGAATTTCAGAATTTAGAAATTATTAAGGCACGGCCACTGGGTTATCAGGGCATGGCCAGACTACAATTATACAAACTATATTTATACAGTTACATTGATCTACATGTACAATGATATTATGTTGTGATGGTTGCGATGTTATACATGTTTATCTCTTTTCTTAACGCATATTTCAATGAAATGTAGGACTTCCTCCATATTCGATTTGTATGACACAATGTATAGGAACTTGTTTTTCTCAGTCATGTTAGAAAAGTCCTTATTTAATGTTTGAATTTTATCTAACATTGATAATACAGTGCGCCCACGCCCACTTTCATAGTTTTTGCATCTCATAACAAAGTACAGTTCATCTTCAACACAATTATCTGAACATTTTGTACCTTTGCATTCATTTACATTTTCATTTTGTATGTCCCTGCTTCAATCTCTAATGAATGGTCACAGAGTCTCAGTTTTGCAAATACATATAGTATTCTTTTTTCAAAGTTGTATTCATATAACCAAGCACTATTTCAGTAACTATGGTGACAGTATGCTAACAGGGAGAGAAACAAATGACAATTTTTTAAACTTCAAACTGCTACATATTATAACTGCATGTGAGACAATAGTTGGGAAATTAAATATCTATTTTTAAGAGC